CAGCTCTACACCTTGTTATCTCAGATTCTCCAGCATCTGCAGTTCCTACTATCTCAAGAAATTTTTCATTTGGCTATCAAATTATTTAAGTTTTTAAAGTCCAAAAAATTCTTCTATAGTTGGAATTTTTAAAAATTGTTCATTGATGGAATGTGGGTGTCTTTGGATAGGCCAACATTTATTGACCATCCCTGATTCAGAGCTTCAAATGAGTGAGGGTCATATTGGATATGCTAATCCTTAAATTAGATTTCTTTTTATTCAGTTTCCAGTTCTGGATGCATTTCTGTGTTAAGGAGAGGTTTGACTCGCATGAAATTAGGAAACAAGTAGGGTATTTTTCTCTGAACTTGTTATTATACATTTTTCCAGAACAATCTCTCATTTTCCTCATTTAAATATTCTTTATGCCTCATATTGTGATACTGTTCTCAGAAACTATGAAGAGATTTCTCAGTTTTCATAAATGGGGCATAGAAAAAGAGTTTAATTTCTGTGAATACATATTTACTTTTTATTCACAAGAGGGACATGGGCGTCCCTGGCTGACCAGTATTTATTCCCCTCCCTAGTTGCACTTGAGAAGGTCGTAGTGAGCTACCGCCTTGAACTGCTGTAGGCAGAACCACATTGCCATTAGGGAGGGAATTCCAGTAGTTTGAAACAGCAATGTTGTGCTTCATTACATTGTCCTTGGTTATATCGACGAGTGGAAATTTTCTATACTTATGTAAGAGAACATGAAGTTGTTTTTAAAAAAAACTGTTTATTTTACAAGCATAAAAGACAGTTAAAATGAGAATAAATTGATGGAGGTATGCTTCAGGGGTAAAATGAATATGTGTGTGTGTGTGTGTGTGTGGAAATGCTGGTGTTGGACTGGGGTGGACAAAGTCAGAAGTCACAAGACACCAGGTCATAGTTCAACAGGTTTATTCGAAATCACAAGCGTTCAGAGTGTAGCCCCTTCGTCGGGTGAAGTGAGAGAGAAGCACACAGAACACAGAATTCATGGCCAGAGAGATCAAACGATCACACACACGATGTGAGTGGAGTGTTGAATAATAATAGTCCCTGCAGGCGATCTGAAGTGTTGGATGGTGTGAGTAAAGCGTCAACAGCTGAATAACAAGCAAAGGGATGACCTATAATTCGATTAAATGAGGCTGAGAGAAAATTACAAAATATTAAAAATACAGTGGTGTTGGAGACCCAACTTCTGTCGTGACACTACAGATTTCTTACAGAAGCTCAGCACCTACGGACCAGCCGAACTAGGAACATTCCTCGTCACAATGGTCGTTTCAGCAGTCTACACCAGCATACCTCACGACGACGGCATTGCTGCAACAGCCTCAGTACTCAGTACCAACAACTGCCAATTTCCAGACATCTTCCTACAACTCATCCATTTCATCCTTGACCACAATGTCTTCACCTTCAACAATCAAATCTTTACCCAAGCACATGGAACAGCCATGGGTCCCCAATATGCCAGCATGTTCATGCAAAAAGTTCGAGCAAGACTTCTTCACCACACAGGACCTCCGACCAACGCTACACACCAGATTCATCGATGACATTTTCTTCCTTTGGACTCCTGGCTAGGAATCACTGAAACAACTGCATAGTGATATCAAAAGCTACATCATACCATCAGACTTACCATGGACCACTCTTCAAAATCTGTCTCATTCTCGAACATACGCCTCCATCAAGGATGGACACCTCAGTATCTCACTCTACCGTAAGCCCATGGATAACCTCATGATGTTGCACTTCGTAAACATATTAAAGAAGCCATCCCCTATGGAAAAGCCCTGCACATACACAGGATCTGCTCAAGTGAGGACAAGCACAATAGACACCAAAGATGCTGCAAGACACCCTCATAAGAACAGGATACGATGCTCAACTCATCGATCACCAGTTCCGACGTGCCGCAGTAAAAAAACCATAACGACCTCCTCTGAAGATGGACACAGGATACGACTGATAAGAGTACCCTTCATCGTCCAGTACTTCCACAGAATAGAGAGTTTACGTCATGTTCTTTGCAGTCTTCAACGTGTCATTAGTGACAACTAGCATCTTACCAAGATCATCCCTCTGCCTCCATTTCTCGCCTTCAAACAACTGCCAAATCTTAAAGAGACCATTGTTCGTAGCAAGCTACCCAGCCTTCAGGAGAACATCGACCACAACACCACACAACCCTGCACAGCAACCTCTGCAAGATATGTCAGATCATTGACATGGTAACTACCATCATATGCGGGAATACCACCCACTGCATACGTGGCAGAGAGGCATGTGATTCAGCCAATGTTGCCTGTCTCATATATGGCAGGCAAGGACACCCTGCAGCATGGTATATTGGCGAGACCATGCAGACACTATGACAATGGATGAATGGACACCGTGCAACAATCACCAGACAGGAATGTTCCCTCCCAGTCAGGGAACACTTCAGCGGTCAAGGACATTCAGCTTCCGATCTTTGGGTAAGCATCCTCCAGGCCTGCTTTCGAGATACACAACAATGCCGAATCGCTGAGCAGAAACTGATAGCCAAGTTCCGTACCCAAGAAGACGGCCTCAACCGTGATCTTGGGTTCATGTCATGCTACATGTGACCCCGCCACACTGTTCTGTATCTGGAAAGTCTTCCTTACTGACCTATCTTGTAACCATCACCTGGATAAACTGTTATGATCTCTCTAACTTAATTAGTTTGTACAGTTTTGGATTACTTATGACTTTGGTTAGACCCTCGGTATGCGACTCTTATACCTATCATGTTATTCTAGTCATTTGGTTTGTGCCTAGTACCACTTTATTTTAATATTTTTGTAATTATCTCTCTGCCTCGTTTAATCAGATTAAAGGTCATCCCTTTGTTTGTTATTCAGCTTTTGACACTTTACTCATAGAGATTAACACTTCGGATCACCTGTGTAGACCTATTTTTCAACACTCCACTCTCACCATTTGTATGATCTTTTGATCTCTCTGCCCATAAATTCTGTGTCTGTGTGCTTCTCTCTCACTTCACCTGATGAAGGGGCTACGTTCTGAAAGCTTGCGATTTCAAATAAACCTTTTGGACTACAGCCTGGTGTTGTGTGTCTTCTGACTTTAAAATGAATATGGCATTCACTATCTTCATTTATTTGTTTACCAGCACAGTCTGTTTCAGGGAAATGGTGCTATACTGTTCTCCCATTGATATGCTACCCTGTTTAATTTTCCATACACCATTACTCTTCAGCAAATGTCATTGGACAACAGCTCATGAGTGCATCCATAATGCTGCTGAAGCCAGGCATGACAGATCATTTTGCTTTTTAAATTGAAACCAATAGCAAAAGAACCCACGTACTTGTTTACAACCGCACTGTTACAGCCCTTAAAAACTGATTTCTAAGATATGATGTTAAAAATGACGATTTACGTATCATGAATTATCAATACTTGTGCAATTTATTGAAGCTTGCAACTTATTCAGTTGTTTTGACATTCTGTCAACAGCCTCAAACTTCTTAGGTAAAGATATGGCACGCAGGTTGCCTCAACAACCATCGGTTGATCACTTGTTGATGGTCTGCACAAACCGTATTTATTTTATCCCTTGCCATGTAATTACTTCTAGGTCCTGGAAACAATGCAGCTGGACAGTCTCGTGCAATGATTGCCGCAGCAGCGAGAAGGCGTGATTCAAGTCACAATGAGCTGTACTATGAGGAAGCAGAACATGATCGGAGGGTGAGGAAGCGGCGTGCAAGGTAATGGCAGTATCTTAATATGTCACAAATAGGCTTGTTCAACATGGAAAAATCTGGAAATGTACTGTAAGGAACACCCTTTTAAATTTCTGTTTTGTGTAACCAGAAAGAGTAGAGCTATCCTGTTTGAGAAGCGGAGGATTGAACAGAGTGAATTTTGATTTAGTTTAAAGGGAATGTTAATTTTAATTTGATGTGAATGAGTGGTATTGTGGTAATGGTGTGGACAGTAAGACCTTCTGACCCAACACAGACAAATTTGCATCAGATCTCAGGTGGACAGAATAGGAAATGTGCTTGAGCACATACTTGACTGGGTACTCGTCAGCATCTCTTATTTTCCAAAAGGCAGGCCCAGTGGCCTAAAGTATGTAATTAGCTGAATATTGATGAAATTAAAATGAGAGAAGCATGACAACTTGTACTCAGCAGTCTAGGGGGGATCTCAAAATTAAGATTGTGCAGGGACATGGGCAAGAGTACACCTGTGCATAGACCATAGTAGAAACACACAACTTGTGGCGAAATTCTTCACGCAGCTATTGCCTTCAAGTTACACAAGTTTCTCTACAGAAAATTCTGGTCCTGGTCCTGGTCTGGTGCAAAAATGCAGGCATAATATCTTTATGGTGCACAGATCCAAACAGGCTGATGATGCCCTTTTGTAACTCTGGCTCAACTGAAATTGTAGGCCATGGTGCCCTTCAGTCTAATATGGTACCTGCATTCAAAACTATGTTTGTCAAAGGAAAGAGAGAACTGACTTGGCAACTCATCTCAGCTGAACTTTGCTGGTATGTTTCATGCAGTTTCACAAACCTAGCTGCCTTTGGAGTCATGTTTCTTAACATTCAACAGAAAGAAGCTCCTGACAATGCTCAATGCAATTTTTGTTCAAGGAACATAAAAACAAAACTTGACTGGCTGTTGAAACTAAAGGTAGTAGATTTCACCCTGCCTCCATTAAACTTACCTGATTTCTGTATTGGGTGGAAGGGATAATGATGGTGCTTTCGATCAAGAGCGAAAACAGAAGTTGCTGGAAAAGCTCAGCAGGTGTGGCAGCATCTGTGCAGAAAAATTAGAGCTAACGTTTCGGGTCCGGTGACCCTTTCAGTCAAGTGCTTTTTGAGCCTCCTGAAAAAGGAATTTTACCCTCCACACATTTTGTACCATTCACCTTGGGACAAATGGATCGTTTTGGTCATTTTATCCATTATTTCTGGTTACATTGTAACCAAGATGACCTACATTTTTCAAAAATTGCCAGTTGTGCAAGGATTTAGAGCAGATTGATATTCAAATTAACCTGATTAAATGGCCTAAAATGTTCAAAAGCATTCTACTTCCACTGCAGTATGTTTAGCTAAAAACTACTTTGTACATAACCTAATTATTTCTTATCATACTTACTACTGGATAGTTCATAGCAGCTATTTTAACCACCTGGTGACTGAACGTAACATTTATATCATAATTTCTCATGTGACATAGTCAGTTTTCATTCTGTTACATTTCACTCAAAGGAATAAAGCATGGACACAGGCAGCTATTTTAACAGAAAAGTTCAGAAAATTGAACATTTCTGCTTTCTCTTTATCTTGTGTTTCTTCAGGTTAGTAGTAGCAGTTGAAGAGGCTTTTACTCACATTCGGCGGCTTCAGGATGATGAGCAGCAGAAAGCTCCTGGAGAGGTGATGGATCCTCTGAATGCAGCACAGTCTATCTTCCCTTCAATGGCGAGAGCATTACAGAAGTATCTCCGTACCACCAGACAGCAGCACTACCATACCATGGAAAGCATCCTGCAACACCTGGCATTCTGTGTCACCAACAACATGACCCCAAAGGTATTTCATAAACTGTTATCTAGGGTACCAGTGCAAATAATAGCTGATCCAAAAAAGTCTGCACACCAGAAAAATGTGCTTTTAATGCAAATCCTCATCAGAGTTAATAATTTTGCCAAAATGTAAATTGCTAAGACTTATTTTAAATGGAGAAGGTTGCAAGCTAGGTATTAATTGTTGAAATTACACAACGGACCCTGTTACCTGTCAAAAATGGCTTTCTATCTGTATCTCAAGAACTGTATGGGGAAGTTAATACTCAAGGTGAAAAATCTGGTTCTTGTCTGCAGTTTAGCTCAGTAAAAGGAATGAAGGAGAAAATAAAAACATGTTTGGCTTTTTGTGGCTGCTCTGCCATTCACTGTGATTGTGGCTGATCATCTAACTCCGTCCCTCTTCCTGCTTTCTCCCCATACCCTTTGATCCCTTTAGCCCTAAGAACTAGATCTAATTCCTCTTGAAAAGATTTAGTGTTTTGGCCTCTAACATGTTTTGTTCACAGACTCTCCACTCACTGGATGAAGAAATTTCTCCTTATCTCAGTCCTAAGTGGCCTGCCTTCTTAGACTGTGACCCCTGGTTACAGACTCCCCAGTCAATGGAACATTCTTCCTGCATTTATCCTGTCTAGTCCTGTTGCAATTTTATGTTTCTGAGATCCCCCCCTCATTCTTCGAAACTCCAGCAGATATAATCCTAACTGATCGAGTCTTTCTTCGTGCATCAGTCCTGCAATCCAGGAATCAGTCTGGCAGACTTTTGTTGAGCTCCATTCATAGCTAGAACAGTCTTCCTCCAATAAGGAGACAGAAACTGCGTACAGTACTCCAAGTGTGGTCTCACCAAAGCCTTATATAATTGCAGCAAGATATCCCTGTCCTGGACTCGTACTGTCTTGCTGTGAAGGCCAACTATTTGGCATCTTCACTGCCTGTTGCACCTGTGTGCTTACTTTCAGCAACAGGTGTGCAGAGACACCAGGTCTCATTCCAACTCCTCTCTCAGTATATCGCCATTCAAATAATAATCTGCCTTCCTGTTTTTGCCACCAAAGGGCAGCATGGTGGCTCAATGATTAGCAGTGCTGTCTGACAGCACCAGGGACTGGATTCAATTCCAACCTTGGTAGACTGTTTGGAGATTTGTGCATTCTCCCTGTGTCTGCATGGGTTTTCTCCAGATGCTCCAGCTTCCTCCCACAGACCAAAAATGTACAAGTTGGGCGGTTGACAGTACTAAATTGGCCAGTAGTGTCCAAGGATGTGTAGTTTAGGTGGATTAGCCATGGTAAATACAGAGTTAAAGGGACAGACTGGGGCTGAGTCGGGTCACATGACCTCTGTGCACTGTAGGGATTCTGTGTTAGTATACCAGCCACAATTCCATGTACTTTAATTTCATATATTAATCTCTTAGGTGGAACTTTCTGAGAGTCCAAGTAAACCGCATCCATGGCTCCCCCATATCAACTCCAATAGTTATATCCTCATCCAATGGATTTGTCAGGCATGATTTCCCTTTTGTAAACCCTGCTGACTCTGTCCGATCCTGCCACTGTTTTCCAAGTACTCTGTTATCAAATCTTTTACAATTGACTGTAGCATTTTTTCTACTACCAGTGTCATGCTAGCTATTCTGTAATTCCCTGTTTTCTTTCTACCTCCTTCTTTAAAATAGTGGGTTTACATTAGCTGCTGCACTCCATTCCATGGGAACTGTTCCAGGGTCTGTTGCATCTTGCAAGATGATCACCAATGCATCTGGTATTTGTGGGGCCACTTCTTTAAAGGTTCTGGGATGTAGCATATCAGGCCCCAGGGATTTAGCAGCCTTTGATCCCATCAATTTCCCTACTTATACTGATTTTCTTCAGTTCCTCACTTTCATTAGACCGTTTTCCCCAACATTGTGGGGTTATTGAGTCCTTCTTTGCAAAGACAGAACCAAAAAATGTATTTAATTGAGTCTCCATTTCTTTGTTTCCATTATAACTTTCCCTGCAAACTTATTACCATACCCTATTTCCCCCCTGTTAATCAATCCCTTCATCCTCCTTTGCTGACACCTAAACTGCTCCAATCCTCAGGTCTGCTGGTTTTCTTCAGCCAATTTGTATGCTACTTCCTTAGATCTAATATTATCCCTGATTTCTCTACTTAGCATTGGTTAGGCCACCTTTCCTGTTTTATTTTTGTGCCAGGCAGAAATAAACAATTGTTGTAATTCCTCCATGCGTTCTTTAAATGTTTGCCATTACCTATGCATTTAAAGAAATGTTACACAGTTTAGCATAGCAAGCCTGCCCCCATACCATTGTAGTTTCCTTTATTTAGATTTGAGTCCCCAGTTTCAGAATCAAAAGTGTCATCTCCGTTTAAATGAAGAATTTTGTTACATCATGGTCATTGTTCCCCAAGGGCCCTCATGTGGTCAAATTGCTGACTATTCCTTTCTTATTCCACAATGCCTGCAAGTCTAGGACAGCCTCTTCACTAGTTGGATCCTCAGCATATTGATCCAGAAAACCATCTTGTACACATGCCAAGAATTCTTCCTCTATTCTATTACTAATTTTGATTTGCCCAATCTATATGCAGATTAAAGTCACCCATAATTATAGCTGTACCATTACTACTTGCCCCTCTAATTTCTTGTTTAGTGTATTCTCTGACATTACCACTGCAGTTTGGAGTATATATACAACCCCCATTATTTCTACCCACACAGATTTCACTTCACTGGAGCTAATATCCTTCTTTGCTATTGCAGTATTTACTGATTAACCAGTAATGCTACCAGTTATACATTTATATCTATTTATGCATCTAAATAATCCACTTTATTGAAATCTCTGTACATAGGAGAATTTTTGTCCTCATTGAGGGTAACTGCACTCAGCAATGTATTTAAGTGTATGAAACAGGTTACATTAAAATATTACCAGAATTAACATTCTGGAATAAACTAAATTCCTAACCATAAGCTTTCAATTCTTAAGTTCATTTTTGAACTTCTATGTTTATGTATGAATGAGATTTTTAAAAGCTGGAAAGTTACTAAAGCTAAGGAATTATTTGGAATTTACTTTGTGAACTATGTCAGAAATCTTTCAGATGTTCCACATCTTGTTGATCATTTCACATTTTCTGTAATTGCTTACTTGTGTAATGAAGCTTTATTTTATCTGTTTTAAAAACTGTCACCTTCCCTCCATGTGATATTATTCTTTTATAGGCCTTTTTGGAGCGTTATCTGAACCCAGGACCTACCCTCCAGTATGATAAGAACAGATGGTTGGCCAGTCAGTGGACATTGAGTAGCGAAGAGGCTGTGACCAATGGCCTGAAGGATGGCTTGGTTTTCACTCTGAAATGTCTTGACTTCAGCCTGATAGTCGTAGTGAAAAAAATCCCTTTCATCAAACTCTCTGAGGAGTTCATTGATCCAAAATCTCACAAGTTTGTACTGCGTCTTCAGTCTGAGACATCAGTGTAAACGATTCATGGCAAGGACAAACATGGCAGATCAGTCAGATAATCCAACTGCACTTTGGATGGGGAAGGGTTTTATATTTTGACCATGTTTAGATTTCTTTTCCTAAATGCTGGAGACCTAAACTTTCTGGTATAAATCTTCAAGAAAAGGTACTCCACCTATCATGTGCTTGCCTCTTTTACCCTAATTGATGGGAACTGTATCAGCCTACTCCCAGATACCAGCATTATAGCAATGGACCTCTAGAAACTGAACATTTTCTGTATTGAGAGAAATGCACTGTCTTTCTACTTGTTTCTAGAGACTCAGTTCTTTGTATGTAGACCATCTTGCCCTCTGGAGAAAGTTCTTTGGAAGCTCTGTGTGTGTGTGTTTCTAGAGATTTGGGCCTTCATTTGAAGAGACTGGTGACACTGGCTATAGATGGTGATTTCTAGCAAACTGTTCTGCAAATGAAGATGTAGATAAGTCCCATCTTTTCAGTCCTAGTGTTCTAGAAAACCAGCTTTTCCCAGATGATATGCTTGGAAGATTTGGTTCACCAATGTAGACTTGCACAGTGTAAGCATTGTTACAATAGATAGTGTTTATCCAATATGTGGAGTTTATGTAGATGTATTACCTTAGGCAGGTAATGTAAAGATAGGGAAGAAATTCCCTTTCAACCCACTGACCCCTTCCCCAAAACTAACACTAAATTGGAAATAATCTCAGTTACATCACTTTGAGGGCTTGGGAAGTGCTTGAATAAAGCAACACTTAAGATGTGTTTGGGACATTAGAGCACATTTGTACAGCAAAGAATGACCATTAGGTTGATTTTATTGTGATTTTCTTTTAAACACTCATGCACACTAAAATCAGTAACATGTATTTCTGAAAGGTTCAAGCATGTAAAATACTCCATATTTTCACCTTGTTTAATATCCTGGGATCTGCCCAGTAGAAACTGCATTCTTTAACTGAGGACTCTGTATCCGTTTCCTTCACATTTTTACCTCTTGTAGTGCAATGCAAAATGTGCCTTGCTGGCTCATCTATTGCCCGCAATGCACTGCGCTCCCACTTAAGGAATTTTTATACAAAAATATTTGCTGTCAGAATTCTGAAAAATAATTTACTTTTTTTAACTTTTTTTAACGGTTGTGGCCTTTGAATCTTCTATTTTATTTTTTAACAGAACTTGTTTTAAGCAATTTTTTTAATTGACGTCTTGTAAAGAATGTTTTATCCAATCAGGAGCAGAGTACAGTATTTGTCCAATGTACATATCAGACTGTGCTGAGCAACCTTCTAAACACAAACTTGGTTGCATCACAAATGTGTTTGGCTTATTTTTACCCAAAGCTAAATCCTGTATGGCAATGAATTTACTAATTGATCTTACAGCATCATTTGTTTTCTATTGTTTAGTTTCAGTGTCTTTTAATTTACATACAAGTTAATTGGTGCAGGAAAAGGTTTTTCTGTATTGATTGATGTGTCATTTCAGGACATCTTTCTCTGTCTCCTTGTTCAGTTTTCTTTAATAATTTTTAATTACTGAATCATTTGCACAACAGAGTGCAATGCCAAGCACACAAGACTGGCAACCTAGTAGCTTGAGGTATAAAGTCGCCTCCTTGAAAATTTGATTGAACTGGGCCACTGATCATGCAACACATAAAAGCTAAATACTGTCTTTTGGGATGGAAATTATTTTGACATTGATTAATTCATGCTTCTACTATCTAGTCAGTTGCAAAGTAGTATTGCAGTGAACATGGCAGCTGAAGTACGTTTTAGAATCCTATCTTGCACATAAGGAGTGAAAATGTAGGGCAAAGTAAGCAGGGGGAGCGGGATGCTGTAGACAGAGGAGTAGAAGTGAATTGGTTAACTGGCCTACAAAGTTAACATTACGTTTTTTTACACAATTTGACTAGAATGTAATTGCATTGAATGTGCATGGGACCAGGAGATCTCTGTAGGAGCTAGGCACAGTGTCATTGAAACAGGTACAGATTGAACTTAGAGTAGAAAAAAAAACTTGCCTCCCAGGTATGGCCTTAAAGGATTTTTGAATCATCTTCTGTTTCCACTAGTGGAATACAATATGACTGGAACAATATTTGCACACAGGCTCATCAATTTTAAATACATAAGTTAATTGCTAAGTCAAGAGAGTCTGTTCTGTTACAAGACAGGTGGTAAATGCATTTCCTTATGCATCATCTCTGTGATAGGGTTAACTACCTCAAATTTCATGTAGCATTCCTCTGAACACATTGTTGATTTAATCAATCTTCTACTTATCACTTGAAATGTAACCACAAAAAACAAATGCACGCTGGATGAACAATTCCTGGGAAAACACTGTGGGTCCAAAAGCTTAATTTAATAGGTATTTATTGTGTGCATTTCAAGTAAATAAAGTTCTATAGAGTGAGATGTATATGACATGAGATAAAAATGCCCTCGTTCTGCTAAAAATTTGCAAGAACTGCATAAAATTAATTATCTTCAGATTCACAGGTATGTCTTAGAGCGCTGGAAATCCAGAGGAGTATTTCACTCTGAAGAAACACAATCTGCATTGGACAGTCTCTGATACCTGTGCCACTGTTCTTCGAACCATTTCCTGTTGCCATTCAGTAAGATTATACTTGTTCTGATTTCCTGTTCCTACGTGTCCCCAATAGTCTTTCAGCCTCTTAGAATTCAAGAGTGCTACCTACTCAAACCACTGTACCATTGCCAAAGATAGTCCTGTGACATTCCATCTTGTGAATCAATGGGGAAAGAGGTCATAATTAAATCTTTCTGACTTTCCTGTGAAAAGAAGTAAACAGGATTCTTAATGGAAAACACCAGCTTTAATTTGTTAAACTATAATCTCAATCTTTCTTGGTATTTCCTTGAGAATAATGCTCTTATTTTCAGTGGGTATTTACCGGCAGAAGAGGTTGACAGATTACAGATCTAAATTATTTAAGTGTTACATTCTGTAGCATCAAAGCAACTAGAATCTGCTATATATACAGTTCTGTACTCTGTTTATCTGAATGGATTAGAATGTTTGTGCACTAAGAAGCTGGCCTCCTGGATTAGCAGAAATATCACCACAAATGTTTATTTGTGTTATTGCGACATTGTGGTCTCTGAATATAAAATGCAACATATACACATTATCATCATTGTAAGGCAAAAAAAAATTGGAAACAAGATCCTATAGGATTTTGACAGCCAAATTCATTGCTGTAAGATTGATTGGTAAACTCACGTGAGATTTCTAGTCTTGTGAAAGTGTTATTGAAGTGTCACTATGTAACTACTGTACACACCTAATTTTATACAGGAACTGATTTATAAATGATTTCTATTGATTATCCTTGTAACAGAGCCAAGGACTAACCACCAGCTTCTGCACCTTGTACTGAAAAGAATTTGTGAATTTTAGGGTCATTATTTGGAGTTACTGAGTTTTTAAATCTACTTCAATTGAATAGGTGCATGATAGACACTAACAATTGCGTGTGTGTATGTAGCCTTAGTAATTTATTTCTTTTTGGAATCATTCTCTAAATTTTACATTTTTGTAACAAACTGCAAAATGTTATTTCCACATCAGGTTTTGTACATGGAGTCTCCTGAAAAAATAAAGAGGAAAACTAGAGTTGACCTGACTCTGTTTGTCAGTAAAAGTTATTTTATTAGTTTTTTGGATATTGGCTGCTTTGACTAACTATTCCTGGTATCCCTAAGACGGTGATACCCAGCTGCAGCTTACGCCACTGTTGTCCTTGTGATTATGTAAGGTAGTAAAAAGTTGGGCATCTGATTCAATGCATTCACTTCAAGCCGACATCAAATTTGTTAGCAGATTTAACAACATACCTTCGTTTCCTGGAGTACAACCAACTCTGCTCTTGACTTATCTATAACCAGTAAAATCTTTATTCACGGTTTTGAGATCACCATGATCTATCTGGCTGTACAATGAATGTGTGTATATCAAAAGTAGGAAATAATACATTGGAGCATTACAGTTCCAAATCACTGTGATGGAATAGTACATTGCAGGTCAGTACTGATACTTAAATGATCAAGTTTAGAAACACATCATGTTTTGAGGTATTGTCAAGGCCAGGGTAATAGGGCAAGTAAAGAAATAAAAAGAGACTAGAGGGATAAACAAAATGCAGGAAATATTCAGCAGGTGACAGTGTTTGTGAAGACAGAAACAACAGAAGTGTTGACATTGCAGGTTGTGATCTTTCACCAATTGATTGTTTCAGATTTCCAGCATCTGCAGTAGTTTGCTTTCATATATATGCTTGGATACTGAATACCTGCCATCTGAAATCAAAGTGAATAAGAGAGAGAAAGAAAAGGAAAACAGCACAAATGCCCATCCGCAATTGACCAGAGGTAGTTAATAATTAACCACAACACTGTGGGTCTGGAGTTGCATGAAGTTAAAGATAGCAGATTTCCTTCTCTAAAGATTCATCAATTTGAGATATAATGTTGGTGTCCAGAAGACTATGATGGGCCTAGTGGAAAGATTACTTTTCATTCTTCTAAATTTCAATGGGTATGCACCTAAGCTATTCGACCTTTCTTTGTACAATTAGCAGCTCATTCCAGGAATGAGTCTAGAATCTAGATTTAGAGTGTGCAATGTCCCTCTTCCAATTTTCAGTCAATTTCCTCTCGTTTATGGGCTGATGACAATAGAAATATTATTTATAGTTGGATGCCTTGTGCTATTTATTCCATAGAAGACCTTGAAAATTTTCTCTGCATCTTCAATGTTAAGAATCACATGGGCCTTGCCATCTCTTAATTATTCAGGTGCCTTGAGCTGGCCACTAGGTCAGTTGGGTTTTTCTGCATTTTTCCTTTGTTTTGATATTCTTGCTCAACTTGTAACATTATAGGAAATAGCTAGATCTATGACTCAACAAGACAATGTCTAACCTACCTAAATGCTGCCAGCCCACACTATCCCACATCTCCATGTCCAAATGTCTTTCACCTGTACTGAATATACTCAACAACTGAGCAACTAAGGTTCTTTCAAGTAGAGAATTCTAAAGATTCACAACTCTGCATGCAAAAATTTTTCATTGCAGTCTTAAACGGCCAACCATTTATCCAAAGGCAGACTCCAAGTTCTAGATTCTCCAAACAGGAGCAATATTTCTCATCATCTATCCGTACTAGCATCCAACAATTTAGAATGCTTCACCTTTGATTATTCTAAAATCCAAGAAATAAAGACCTAACCCTAATTTGCTCAATCTATCCTTTGGGACGTATTAGGAACCAGTCTAGTGAAATTTTGTTACAATTCCTCCAGAGTGTTCTAATAGTAATCAAACATTTCATGTCAAGATTTGGTGACACTTTCTTACTGCTGTTTCACTGCAATGTTCAGTTTCAATAAGGTTTCCACTACTCCCATTACTCTCTGCAGTGTCATGATCTATAGCCCACAGCTAGTTAGTTGTATATCACTCTTTGCCTCCCTAGTCTGAATAAATAATATTTAATCACATGAAATGCATCTGTCACTTATCTCTGATCCTATTCTATTTCTTTGCACCCAGTCAGTGACTCTTCGCCATGTTTACACTTTCAAAGCTACCCTTTGAATATTTGTTAAACCAGAAAAATCAGTCTACCTTGTCTCATGTTCAAAAACCTACAATCTTGAGGAGTAATTACTCAATTAACATGGTGCCAGAAGCTCTCAAACCTTTAAACCCATTTCATCTTTAGTAATCATAAATTTGGTCCTTTAATGTTAAATCAAATCTAGAAATCAAAAGGATGATAGGTGAATTGTAGTACATTAAAACAAAGTAGGATTCAGAGGAATGAAACTGCAGAAATTTTGGCCCGTGAAGTCAGACCAACAATCCAGGTGGGTAGATTTCTTTCATTGGACTTTGTTAAAAGATCAGTAGTTGAACTCGCACAGGCCCAACAAAATCTTGGCCAGTTTCCTCCTGTTTTTTTAAAAAAAAACGATGCACTTGACACAAATAGGAGTCTGTCCGCACACAACCACTTCATATCAGATAAGAAGCCATAATCAAAATCATTTTAAGATAGTAATAAAAAAAATTGCTCTAAAATTCAATCTATCAATGTTCATGGGCGTGTGTTTGGTATTTTTATATAAGCCATGTAAATTTGCAAAAACAGGTGAAGCCTGTAAAATACTAAAATACATGCTCTGTATGGAATAAGAGATAGTAAGAACTGCAGATGCTGGAGTCCAAGATAACGCAGTGTGGAGCTGGAGGAATGCAGCAGGCCAGGCAGAATCAGAGGAGCAGGAAAATTAATGTCAACTTTCCTGCTCCTCTGATGCTGTCCGGCCTGCTTTGTTCCTCCAACTCCACACTGTGTTATCTCTGTATGGAATAAACTCTTTTTTTAAAAAATAACTTTCCTCTCATATGCCATGAATGATCATCAGCAAGTAATAATGAATGATCATTGATCCTGAACTATTAATCCTGTATCTGTGAAGAGAGAAATAGCATTGCAGTGTTTTCAATCTTAATTTTTAATGAGAAAGTATTTAAACATTGCTTAAATATAGTTGCTTATAATCATCTGACATGATGAAATGCCAGCTGTACAATCATTCTGATACATTATAGTAATTGAAATTTCCTTTTTCCAAGTGGATTATCAAGTCTGTTTTTATAGTATTTTGTGCCATGACTACAACAGCATACTTAATATCACTGACATTCACAGGAGAGAATTCTGCAATATGACAATGTAGCCTCTATGGAAACTTAGTCGTCACTGCTTATGAAGAAATCCAAGGTATGCCAAATAATGGATTAACAAAGCAGTTACCTTGTGCTAGATTCAAATAACAATTCAAACTGCAGGAATGAAGCAAGATAATTAAAGTAATGATTTGAACCTGAAAATGTTATTTTTTTTTTTCTAACTGCATAGATGCTCACAGCTTGTAAGATTTCCTTGTGAAATATGCAGCTGAAAAATGTATCAAGCATCAACAATCTGTCACCTGTAAACCACGTAGCCAAGGAACGGCACCTACTCTAAAAGATAAATAACATCATGCAACTTTAAGATTATTAGGGGACAATAAACAATTACCAGGAAATAATGAGATCAATTTATGGCAAAAAAACTGGCTGCAAAATAGTTTAAGGACTTAAATCATTTTCCAATGATTCATATTCACAAACTATATCATTGCAAGCCTCTAATTTTCTTAATGAGAGACTAGGACTAGTGTGAGTTATGAAAAATACCTTCACTCCCCACAGATGTTAGAAAACCTGACCCACCCAATGGAACATATTTAAATAAAAAGACGAAAAGAAGAACCAACAATAAAATAATTGTATCAACTCTCATTAAACTATAACTGTACAACCAATAACAGAAACTGAACCACAAAATCAAGATTTTACCAGATGTGACTGGAATCCTGAAAGTACTGTGGTTTTTGACTTGAAAGTAATATATCTAAAAATGCTGATCAGCAGTGAATGTTAGGCAATGATTAACTGCAGTGAAATTATATGTTAAATAAGTAGGAATGAAAGTGTTTCATTATTCTTTAAGGGATGTGAATGTGTCAACAGCCAATATTTGTTGTCCGTTCCTAATTGCCTTTGAGAAGATGTTATGCCATCTCCTTTAACCTTTATAGTCCATTTGGTGTAGGTACATTTTGGTTACAGAGGGAGTTTCAAGAATATGACCAAGTAATAATGAAATGTTGATATGTCTCCAAATCAGGACAGTCAGAGATTTGGAGCAGATCATGAGGTTGACGATGATGCCTTCTTCTTGGTGATGTCGTACATATGTTTGGAAAGTGCTATTACAGTGATCCTATATAAACATTTTGACCCAACTGTGATAATGGTTTCTAATTTGGGTACCAGAAGGATCAGAAGGCGGCGTATGAGGTTCTGAAGAAATTTACTGTATTGGCTCCAGGGATGAAGGACTACAGAGAAGTTGAAGTTGTTCTCCTTAGGCCTGAGGGGACTTGATGGTTTAGATAGAATGAATAGAAACTTTCTCCAACAGCTGAAGTGGTGATTATTGAATATCTCCAACTTAACTCCATAAAATTAATTGACAAAAGAACCAGACATGAGAAACCATTACATAGAGAGTTTAGGATTTGGAAGATGCTTCCTTCCAGAGATTGTGGAGGATGCAGGTTTGAATTAGTCTGCAAAAGGAAATTGGATAAATACATAGAGAAACAAAATGGGAAAGATGGTTAAGGTGGAAGGACATAGGACTGACAGGTTCTCTCTTTGAAAAAAACACTGGAACAGACTCAACGGATTGAAAAGACTCCTGTGTGTTTTTTTAATTTGCTTATAGACTGGGTGTTACTGGCTGGCCAGCATTTATACTAAGTAGCCTTTGGAAAGGTGGTGGTGAGCTGCCTTGTCGAACTGCTGTGGTCGTGCTGTTGATAGACACACAATGGCCTTAGAGAAGGAATTCCTTGATTTTTATCCAGCACCAGTGAAGGAATGGTGATATATTTCTCAGTCAGAATGGTGAGTGGTTTAGAGGGGAACTTGCAGGTGGTGGTGTTTCCATGCATCTGCTGCCCTTGTCCTTCCAGATGGAAGTGATTGTGGGTTTAG